ATAGGAACATACTGAATTCAAATTCTGGATGTCTGATTTAACTGGCTGATCTTGGGATTGTTTCCTACTCTCTCCAAACCTTAGTTTATTTCTCTGTAAAAAAGGGATGATAATAATACCTTCTTCGAAATGCTGTGAGAATAAAATTACAAATTTCCTATAAAGTATAAGGGAAAGAATAGGTACTCAAAAAATAATTGTTTTACATAATAATGTAAAAATAATTTTGAGTTTTCACAGGCAGTTCAAGAGGGAAGGAGTGAATGGGCCCAAGACTGGAAAGAAGCTGGAAACGGGAGTAGGTGTAAAAGATTGCTGGTGGCAGACCATGTAGGAAGGAGGCTGGGAACTGAGAAGCGATGGTCAGAGAGGACTTCTCAGTGGTAGATATAGCCAAGGAATTTTCAAGAATAGGAATGTCTAATGCTTAATTATATGTTGTTTGCTGAGCTGGGATAAAATAGAACCTTCCTCCCCAACCTGTTACCTCCATATACTCTTTTTGTTTGTGTTTTTGGATGGGGGGCAAGTTGGTATTCATTTGCTTTCAACTAATGATAGTTAAAACTGAATTCTAAGTTTAAAAAAATTAATATCATGTTCACATTTCTTTTAAAACAATTTTTTATCCTGCAAAAAACTCTGTAGTCAAGGTACCCTTTCACTAAGGTGACAGAAAACATTAAATTATGCATAAAATAAAAATATACTTAACATATTAACTTTCCTTTTATTTCCAATTATGACAGATTTAGGAACATATATTGAGGCTAAAGAAAAAAGATAATTTTCCTTCCGCAAAGCACTATGTTTACCTGTATTTGCTGCTAATACAGGTCTGGGATGATCCCTAAAAACCAAAACCAAACCCATTGCCGTCGAGTTGATTCCAATTCATAGCCTAGAGGTCTAAAAAGCATTCCCTCAGAAAGCTGGTTCCTCTATTCCTATTCCTACACATTCCCCTAAACCATGGTAAGAACCATGAGTATCACTGATATTTTGAGGTTAAAAACAAAAAAAAATGGATAAATTAAAAAACAAGTCCTAAAGTTAAAAAGAGTATAGTAATCATGTTTTCCCACGGCTTTTCTGTTTTTAATTTTAAACATTTTTTTAAATAATATTTTATTGTGTTTTCATTGAAAGTTTACATGGCAGATTAAGTTCTCATTCAACAATTCTACACAAATTGCTCAGTCATACTGGTTACATTCTTCACAATGCATGAACATCCTCATTATTTCTGTTCTGGTGGTTTCATTTCCAGTAATCTAGTTTCCCTACCCTGTTACCTTCTCATCTTTATTTTAAAGTAATTGTTGACCATTTTGTTACGTATAGATGATTTTTTTTTAAGGAGCACAGCACTTACAGGTGGTATTCTTTATTTTGTGAGCCAATCTGTTATTTAGCTAAAAGGTGACCCCAAGGGACAGTTAATGTTCAAGGTTTAAATAGTGTCTCAGAGCAATAGTTTCTGACAGTCCTCAAGTCTCCACCAGTCCAGTGATGTTCCACATTTTTCTCCCATTCTATCAGGATCCACCTATTGTGGCTCTGATCAGAATGATCGTTAGTGGTAAAGTGGCACCACTAGCTCTTCTGGTCTCAGGGTGGATGAAGTTGTGGTTCCTGAGACAGTCCTGCAGACTAGTTTCTTCTCTAAGTCTTGGGTTTCCTTCTTTTTCTTTTGTTTCAGATGAGTAGAGATCAATGGTTGTATCTTTACCTCCAGATTCTTAAGTTTCCAAGGCAAAATGACTCTGCCCCACATTTGAGAGAATTCTCAGGCAGAATGGAAAAACATAACCATATGAGAATAGACATTAGAAAATTCAAGAAGAGTATGAAATCAGATAAGAGAGAGCTAGGGAAAACTTAAGCCGTTAAGATATCGTGATGGAGTGTCCAAATGTGTGTGATGTGGAGTCTGGAACTAGTGTTATGTATCTATTGAACAACAACATGACTAAGCAGTCTGGATAATCTGGATGCTCAAGTAGAAGACATTCGGGACATAGTAGCTACACAGAGCTATGATAGAGGATGAAGATGATGTAGAGGAGAGAAAAAAAATAAAAAAAAGAAGAGAGGACAACAATTGAGTGCCTAGAATGTCTAGACAAAGAATTTGTAAGCCATGAGAAATTACTAAAATTTTTGGAACAAGCAGGTGTTGAATGTGTTGGATAGATGATAGTAGAAAGGCACAGGAGAAAAGAAGACCAGCTTGGAATTATTGCAATAATTTACAGAAAACGTAAAAAGTGCCAAAACATGGGTGTTGGCAATGGGAATGTACAGAAGGGGATAAATCCAAGCTATAACACAAGTGAAATCTCCAATTTCTGGCAAATTACAGGATGTTCAGTAGGTATGTGTATCACCAGATATTACCATAGGAATTCAAGATTAGATGACTGGAATGATGGTATTTAACTAAGTAAAAACAGGAATAGGAGAAGGATGTGCTGGACTGAGGAGACACTTGCAACATTGTCATATATCAGTTCATTCTCTTTAACCCCACTATAAGGCTCTATGGTTCAGGGACTACCACAGTACTCCACGTAAGCGTTTCTAATGACAGTCATCTATTGTGGGCATTCTCTATTCTTTCTTCTTCCTTAGAAATAGAATCCACAGTTTTTAACTGGGAATATAGCTGCCTAGAATAAACACTACATCTTCAGTCTCCACTTCAGCTAGGTAAGGCCTTAGGACTATATACAGACCAATAGGATGCAGAAGAATCTTAATAAACAAGGTGTGTCTTTCTAAGTCACTTACTCCTTCTTGCTCAATGGAGCTAAATCACCCACTCAATATCGTGAGGTTGAAAGCCACAAATAGGTGAAACAAAAAGAGCCTGATTCCCTGAAAACTTCATGAAGTCACCCTACTAGCCACCAACTGCTTACCTCCAGATTTCCTCCACATGTAAAAGAAATACACTCATAGCTTGTTTATACGATTATTATTTTAAATTGTCTACTATTTGGAGCCAAGTTTAATTTTCTCTAATTATCTTAATTATTTTTGCTATTTTTTTCAGTTTTATTTTTTCAAAACTTTACAAACATCTCAAAATATACTCTTTTTAACATTTTGAAATATTCTCAAATGCTGACCAGGCATTCTTTACATTTGTTTGAAAAAAGCTTTTAATCTGCTAAGTGACATTCCTATAAGCACAACATTGCTTACCACAGAGTCTCATTGGCATCTCATATGTTTGATTAATATGTGTGCTAACCAAGAAGATCATCCAAAATTCTACTGCAAACAGTACTCATAGTGGTTAAGTGTTGAGCCAAGCCATCCAGCAAAGTGGAAGTTTGACTAAACCTACAAAGACAAGAGCCATGTCACTAAAGAAAATGAGTTTATCTATTATTTTCAGCTAATACACATATGCCATTGTGAGTACACAGAATATTAGAAAATAATTTATGACACTAATTTTTAATTACGTGCATAAAGTTAATATTTGGGTTTTTTCTTGATAATTTATCACTTTCCTATTTTTACCCTGGATTGTCACAATAGGCTCTGAACTATAAGCTTATAATTAAATATTTTAACTGATCTTTCTTACTCTGACAATGCTTTCCTAAAACAGAAAAGAAAGAATATAGCTTAATCATCTATTCCAAACCTCTTGTTTTATAGACGAAATGATCCAAATAGATCTCCTAACTTCACTAAATGTTTCTCAGGATAATTGTTTATTCACTCATTGATTCATTTGTCTATGTACTGATTCATTCAATTACTAGTAAATTATTATATGCATAAAGAATTAGGATGGGGCAAAGCACAGAATTAGATATGGACCTTGCCATCAATAAATTTCCAATTTAGTAGGAAAAGAAAGAATAATTATTCAGCTATTTAAAATACACAATAATAAATAAAGATGCTCTAAGTATTTCTACAAAGAATCACAGGACAGGAAAGGTGGGAATGGATGGCTAGTAAAGACTTTATGGAGGAACTTGCATTTTGGCTGCACCTGAAAGGCTATGAACAGGTAAAGATAGATGAAATAGGGATTTCAGACAAAAGGAGTGGCTTCATTTTTATTTGCAGAGTCGATTTCTATATGAAGTTTGCATATATGACAGTCATCATATATATATATATATAGAGAGAGAGAGAGAGAGAATTACATTTGGGTAGAAAAGTAAAATCAAAACATATTCTAAGAAGCCAGAGGTGAGTATGGTGACTTTAGAAGGCTAGGCATCATAGTTAATACGGTACTAAACAGTGATGTTCATCAAGGTACAAATGAATTCCCATGAAGTTCATCAACTGCAGGGCCAAGCTAACACTCAGCATCTACAAAAAATGATTCCAGTAGAGTTTAGGAACCAAGAGCTTTGAGTTAAATGCTCACAAAATATCATAAATTAAATGACTGAAAAAGATGTTAGTAATAAGTAAAACAGTAGGGTTTCAATTTACAAGTGAAAATCCAGACAAATGTGCAGTATTAAGAAAAATAAGACTTCGTTTTCCTTCAAATAGCAATGAATTAAGCCATCTAGGATATAAACATTTAAACCAAGATTGTTTAAAGAATGAATGACATTCAGGAAAAAGTGGTGGCATCTATATGGGTTACTACAAACAACCCTTTATTTACATTGTTTAATATACACAAAAAATATGTTCCCCTTTTTTTCCCATCTGTGATTAGTTATGCTTATCAGGAAGAGAATGATGCCTAGGAATAACTAAGTACTTCATCAATAAGTAATACCAAGTGATTACAAAACAGGCATACACAGAATTCTGTTCACACCTTTTGCAACAACTTTAAACTATGTATTTTTACATAGGCTAAACAGTCAGCTTTTCAGCTATTTAAGTTACTTTCTTACACTGGTATTTCTCTACTAATCCCCATTTCACAGGATGCTTTATATTCTATCTAAAAAGAAATTTGCGTTGTATCTATGTAAGTCTACAGGTAACCTTCAGCCACTAACCTTACTGTCTTCTGTCTCCTTGGCTTTTCCTTGGAGGGATTTCTTCTCTCCAAATTCACAGGTTGATTTTAATGTGAGCTGACAAGAAAGCATCGAGCTCTCTGTTCCAGTAAGTTCCAAAGTTCTCGAAGAACAGTGCTGTAACCCAGCAGTGCCAAGATTTGGTATCGGAAGAGCAGTATGAACAGGCTTTGACCCAACAGCTGGCTGCCTCAGTTTTGAGGCAACCCCAAGTACAGGCATGGCTTCTATAAAAGTATCTTCTTGCTGCCAAAGAAAATGCTTCTAACCTCAGTCTGGTAGACTCCAACTTTAGTATTTCCAGAACAAATACTTTAAACAAAACTAGCAGTCAACTTGATTTTTTTTTTAAACTAATAATATTACTTACAAGAAAGGCAAAACTTTCTTTCATCTTTAGTTAAGTATCTGTGTCTTTCTTTCTTGCTGGCTCGGATTCTCATTCTTTCTCTCTCTCTCTCCCCCTCTCGTGAGTCAGTGTCTATGTAATACTACCTACTCCTTTGGGGAGTAAACTTTTCTCGAAGGTAAGTGCCACAAAGCCCCTCTCTGGGATTAGAAGCTCCTAGTTTTGCTTTTCTTTTCCCTACAGCAGCCTGAGTCTGAGCGTTAGGAGTGAAAACGAGGAGAAAAACAAAAGGAAAAGCCCCTCGGTCCGACTGTCAAAGCAGCCAAAAGACCACAATAGTGGAAGGATAAGAGTTCTTCCTGATTCAGAAATAACCAGCCCGGATTCTCTTTTTAAAGAAAGTCCCACTTCCCCCTAGGCTTAAAAAAAAAGAAAAGAAAAGAAAAAGGAATGGACACAATTAATGGCCAAAACAAACAGCTGTTCTGGGGTTTTAGCCCGGAAACCACCTCAGCAACGAAGCTGTTTGTCTGATTTCCAGCTATCTTTCATTAATGACAGCCATGAGCCATGGTGTTCATTGTTTCATCCCATGAAATCAGGTTAAGTTCATGCAATAGTGCAGCTAGCTAAAGCTGCTAAATCATTCAGCAGCCCATGCCTGCCTAGGTTATGAAAACATAGGAAATTCGGAGAGCAGGGCACTAGGCATGTAGTAATCAATGTTTCTACATTTAATAATGATAAAGCTAATAAAAATAGTCACAACTAATACTTATGCAGAAAGCACTATATAGCAGTTATTGGGCTAAGTACTTCACATGCATTGTAACATTTAATCCTTGGAATGACTCAATAAAAAACCAAAAAGAAAACCAAACCCACTGCTGTCAAGTCAATTTCGACTCATAGCAACCTCACAGGGTTTCCAAGGCTATTAACAAGGCTATAAATCTCTATGGAAGCAGACTGCTACATCTTTCTCCCACGAAGCACTGGTGGTTTCGAACTGCTGACCTTTCAGTTAGCAGTCAATCACTTTAACCACTAAGCCATCAAGGCTCCTTGACTCAAAGGAAAATTTATTGTCCTTACTTTATAGGAAGGATAACAAAGACTCAGGTACATTGAGTAATTTGACCACAGCCATGAAGCTAGAAAGTAGAGGAACTTGTACTAAAGAAACTTTAAACAAATTATTAAAAATAATTTAGTATCATGAAAATAGCTGCCCTTAGATAATGGGTACAGAAAGAAATTCCCCCATCATTTATATGTGGCAGCACTGAAGTTCCAAAATCAATTTCCAATCAAATAATAAGAATTACTTCAATTTCCCCTCCCTCACGTTTCTGTTGAAGAATTCTGTAAAGCACAGATAGACTGACTCCTGTTTATTTTTTTTTATTTTGTTTAGAAAATATATATTATAGTCATAAAATAGTGTAAGAATTAGCAATAAGGCAAGTGAAGAAAAAAGTAGTCACTAGTATACACTAAAAAAATGGTGATAATTATCAGCATCATTACCATTATTATAGAAAATTTCTCTCTATAATAAAGAAATTATTTTCTTTGGCTACTATTCCCAGCTATATAAATTACTGTGTACTTTTAGTGAAGAAAGACTAAATTAGAGATAAAAGAGCCAATAAATAAAGTCAGATTTATATATTGTTGCTGATACAGCAAGTTAGAAATCTACAGGCTTTTGAAAAAAGTAAACCAAATGGGCTTTATTCAACAGGGTAATAAGGGACAAATGCAACACTAGCGGTGATAGAAAAATGAACTGATTTCTCTGAGGAAGTAAGCTAATTACTTTGTGATTTAAAAATCATTTAGCACACTACAGTCCCTTCCAGAGACTATAAGATATTGCAGAGTTGGAGGTATTCATGTTCCTAAAATGAGATTTAATTTACATGGCAAGATACACTCTTCCTGTAATTCTCAAATGGAGTTCCTGGGTAGGGGGCCAATGGTTAATGCTCTAGGCTGCTAACCAAAAGGTTGGAAGTTCAAGTCCACCCAGAGGTATCTTTGAAGGAAGGTCTAGTAATTTACTTCCAGAACGTCAGCCACTGAAAAGCAGACCCTGTGGAGCACAGTTCTACTCTGACATACATGGGATTGTCATGAGTTGGAATCGTCGCAAAAGCCACTGGGTTTAATCTTCATGTTGCAAACAAAATGGCATACCTAAGATAATAGGACTTGTGAGAAAAATAGTATTGGGGCAGGTCATTCACGACCTATGCAACTTTGGGACCGATCACAAATAAAAATAATAATCTGTACCTCAAAAGATGATTTGGGCCACCCAAGGAAGCAGATCAGCCCAAAATGCATTTAAAAGAAAAAAAACACGGAGCAGAAATGTCAGAAATTCTTTAATTAGAGTTGGTGGAGAAAATCCAGATGAAAGATAAATCCTGAGCCAACATGATGGCTACTAAGAATAGCACAGGTAGTAGTAAAACCTGCAGATATTTAAGAGCTGCGCAAAGCAAAGGTATATCCCTTTGATGAGGGAGCTCAAGCTACAAACACTCATTTTTAATTTTCTTAAAATTGTAATTTTCTTAAAATGGAGATGAAAGTGCTCCTGTTGACCGCACTGCATCCAAGCTGAGGGCTTCTTCTTTTTCCACCAAAGGTTATAACGTTACTGTGACTATTCCGACCCTCTTTGCCTAGAATAAATTACATATAAAGCTCCACAACTTTCACATTATACTAACATAATTCCCCTGCTTAACAATTGCAACCATACATTGGGGCAGAATACACTGTAATGCATTTACAAATTGGAAAAAAAAAAAAAAGTTCACATTCAATAAGATATCCTTGCACTCTGAAACATCTTTTGCACATATTTCGTTGTTGTTGTTAGCTGCTGTTCAGTCAGCCCTGACTCCTGATGACCTCGTGTACAACAGGATCAAACCATTGTGACCCATAGCATTTTCATGGCTGATTTTTGGAAGTAGATTGTCAGGCCTTTCTTCCTAGTCTGTCTAAGTCTGTAAGCTCTGCTGAAACCTGTTCAGCATCACAGCAACAAGCCAGCCTCCAATGACAGACAGAAGAGTGGTGGCTGTACTTGAGGTGTACTGACCGGGAGTCGAACCCAGATCCGGATCTTCCTCATGGAAGGCAAGAAGCCTACCACTGAACCACCACTGCCCTCAAAAGTCAATTCCAACTCATGGCAACCCCATGTGTTTCAGGAAGTAGATTTCCATGTTAGATACTATCATCTCACTATGACTGGAATTATAGGATTGAAAATAGTAGTCAATGTTGACTGAGTCTATGAAATAACATTCACCAGCAAAGCAACAAAAACAAATTAACTTATTAAAGAGGAATTTATTGTAAACCAGGAGCTGTCATCTCATTTTATCCTAAAAGAATTTATCATCAGTTTGAGGGCTAAAAGACAAAGGCACCGAGAAGTTAAGTAATTTTCTGAAAGTCACAGTAAGTATAATAACTATGAATCTCAAAGTGGGTTTGTCAAACTGAGGTCAACAAACTACAACCTGGTTGTTGTTAGGGGCTGTCGAGTTGGTTTCAACTCATAGCAACTCCATGTGACAGAGTAGTCCTTCCCCATAGGGTTTTCTGGGCTGTAATCCTTACAGAAGCAGATCGCCAGGTCTTTCTCCTCCAAAAGGGCCGGGTGGGTTTGAAATGCTAACCCTCCGGTTAGCAGCTGAGCACCTAATGGTTTGCACCACCAGGGCTCCTTCTACCACCTGGAGTGCTTGGTAAAATACATATTCCTGTATCCATCCCAAACCCAATGAGTAAGAATCAGGAGGAAGAGGGACAAGTTTGAGTATTTCATTTTAAATAAGTTGATTTTCCTGCACATTAGAATTTTGTATCTGTACTGTGGGGGATTTGCAGTTTGATAGTTTAGGGATAATTGCAAACATGAAAAGGGGAAGATGAAGGTAGTGCTCTATTTTTCTCCACTCTATCCTAAGAATTTATCGGGTGTTATTAGTTTTGCATTAGATCTAAAGAATCTCCATTTGTTTGTTATTTTCCTTCATCTAGCTTAGAACTGTCCTTAAACCGAGAGCAGAAATCATTTGTACTTACAGATTGCAAAATGTTTGATTGATTGAGTTAGGTTGCCTTCCAGATCAAATATGAAATTTTAAATATTACAAAATAGTATAAGATATAGTGAATCTGGAGTTAAAACTACTGTATAAACCTGGCTTAAAACATCATGGTGTGTTCTAACGGTTTCTTGCCAGAATCCCCTCTGGCATCATTTTTTTCAGCTATCTGGAAAAAAATCTGATTCTTACAGAAGTATTAGCCATACAGTAGATTTAAGAGGGGCAATAAGCCAAGATGTGTCTTTATCGTGGTTTTGAAGCAGGAGAGAGGAAGGTAAACCAGCTGGCTAAAGCATAAAGGCAGGTGGTAAATACAGAGGAGGCAATAATAAAACACAACGGATTTTTGGAAATGCTCACGATGGCCACTGAAATGAGCAACATCTCAGAAGAGTCAGAAACTGGTTGTACTCGCTCCATGGCATGCATTTGCCATCTTACACACTTCTTACAATATGCTACTGATGTAGTTAATTGAGCAAGTAAAATTCATCAGATTCAGAAGGCCTCTTAGCCATGAAATATAACGAAATTCAAATGCAGTAAGCTTTGAAATGGCATCTATACTCTCCCTTGAGGATATCAGCCCCTAGAGTCATCTGGAAAAGCGACAGCTATTTTATTAAAAAAGAAACCACTTGGATAGTCTTGCCAGATAAATTTCAGTACTCCAATAATATGGTTGACCTTGCAAATCTAAACAAATACACAAAAAGAACATTAGAAACTTTCAAAATAGTTATACTTGAAAGAATATTCCTGTCACCATACATGTGCATAAATGCACTTTGTTATAAAGAAAAAGTGCCTTAAACCAAGTCATGAGAGTTTGGTTCTGGGAAATAGAGCCAAATACTTTTAGCCGCAACAATACATAAAAACACGATTTTATAAGAACACTTCTT